AAAAAAAATAAATAAAATAAAATAAAATACAAAATAAAAAAAGAAGGAATTTACCTCAACATAATAAAGGTCATATATGAAAAGCCCACCGTTAACATCATAATCAATGGTGAAAAACTAAAAGTTCTTCCCTTAAGATCAGGAACAAGACAAAAGAGGTTAGAGTGGGAGAGAGCTAAAGCATAAGAGACTCTTAAAAACTGAGAACAAACTGAGGGTTGATGGGGGGTGGGAGGGAGGGGAGGGTGGGTGATGGGTATTGAGGAGGGCACCTTTTGGGATGAGCACTGGGTGTTGTATGGAAACCAATTGGACAATAAATTTCATATATTGAAAAAAAATAAAATAAATTTCAAATGGAAAAAAAAAAAGATCAGGAACAAGACAAGGATGCCCACTCTTGCCACTTCTACTCAACTTAATATTGAAAGTACTAGCAGAGAAGCAAAAGTGATCAAATACTAATGAATAAACTTAACTAAGGAGGTGAAAGACTTGAATGCTGAAAATGACAAAACACTGCTACAAGAAATTGAAGAAATCACCAACAATAGAAACATCTCACGTTCACAGATTGGAAAACTTAATTTTGTAAAAATTTCCCTATCACCCAAAGTGATGCATCTCTATCAAAATCCCAAAAGCCAGACACAGAAGAACAAACATGGAATAATTCCACCTTTATGAAATATCTAAAGGAGTCAAACTCCTTACAACAGAAAGTATAATGGTGGGCTGCCAGAGTGGGAGGAAGAAGGAAATGGGGAGTGGCTGTTCAATGGGCACAAAGTTTCAGTCACGAAATATGAAAAAGTTCTAGACATCTACAGTATGACACTGTGCTTGTAGTTAACAATACTGTAGTATACACTTACAATGTTTAAGAGATTAGATCTTATTGGTTTTTTACAACAATAAAAAAAGAATAGGAAAAAAAGAAAAAAATTAGACTCTCAGATAAAGAAAGAAATCATTGCCCATTATAAAAAGATCATCCTGAAATAAGGAATGTATTGCAGAATGCACCTTCAGGGAAATGGTAGTCTATGAAGAAGAAATAATCCATGTGAGAACAAAGAGGTGAATAATATTTTGCTCAATGTGGATCAAATCACAGCAAGAGTATAAAGGTGAACAATATTAGGAAATGATAATCCTATATGATAAGCACCTCAAGGTAAAATTTAACCATTTGTCAAAAAAAAGGAAACTGTCAAATGATTCAAATACAAATTACATGATTACAGCAATGCATTAATCATACTTTAATACAGTTATTAAAAAGTCAAGTTCAAAGAAGCTCATATACTGCTCTAAGTACAATTTCAAAAAACCACATTTTCAAAGATGGCTATTGTACAGCATGTTTGTGAACTGAATAGACACAGACATTACTTACATTCTTTCTTTGAGTGTGCATGAAGAGATTTTTGGCAAGATTTCCAATTTAATTTTTTTTTACAGACTGGACATTTCCAGTCTGTAAAAAGAATTTTTTACCCCTTTTAAGCACAGCTACTCTTTCATGTGTAATTAGAATTTTTTAAATAGAATACATTTACCAAAATACCTATCTACAAAAAATCTCTCAAGTAGTACAAATACATATTTAATCAAATTTTATTTTAGGATACAAAATAGTAAAATATCACCATGAAAAGTCTATTTTAATAATAATATATACCTAGTTTCAAAACCACAGAATTCTAATTCTAATATGACAAGGCATTCTAATTCTAACATCTATGTATGTCAAATTATTTCTCAATACAACTGGGAAACAAATCTACACCCCTCTGTTCTGTTCAAGATGACAAAAGTCAACACAGTCTAACTGTTAGAGACATTAAAAAAAAAACCTGTGATGACCTTTTCTACGTGATACAGTACCTTTTTAAAAGTTTGATTAAATAAAATGCTTAATTTCTATACCTTCTTAAATAATATAAAAAAAAATGATTAAATGTTTTTTCTGTACTATATACCCAAAACAAATTTGAAGAAAAAAGAGAAATGAAACTTTTTCTAAGCCACAATCATTTAGAAATATTTCTAAAATTTTGTTTTAACGTTTATTTATTTTTGAGACAGAGAGAGACAGAGCATGAACGGCGGAGGGTCAGAGAGAGGGAGACACAGAATCTGAAACAGGCTCCAGGCTCTGAGCTGTCAACACAGAGCCCGACGCGGGGCTCGAACTCACGGACCATGAGATCATGACCTGAGCTGAAGTCGGACGCTTAACCGACCAAGCCACCCAGGCGCCCCTAGAAATATTTCTATGAAATGTTAACCAACCTATTTTTGAAGATTTTGTAGGTAAACTGGGGGCAAAAAAGCCTTTCCATATTACACAAATATTATTTTTAGGTATATTTTATATTAAGTGACTATAATATTAAAAATAAAAAATACAAATTACTTTCCCCCTAAGTAATATGAACAGAAGCATGTGTATATCCTAATAGCATTAATATTTACTAAAAATACAAACTTTTCCATTTCCACGGAGTTATCATAAACACAAAGTTAGATTTCACGGAATGATATAAAAATAACTGACTGATAAGTACTATATTTTCAAATGTTCTCTCACTAACTATAGAAATTTAAGTCTCTCTCAAGTGCAATTTTTAACATTTTTCCAGAGCTTTAATAATATTAGTAATTTGACCTTTGTTTTTGGAAGAAATGAGAGATTCTCATTCAGAATTCTGTACAAGAATATTCACTGTTATTTATAGTAGAAAAACTTAGAAATGAACTAAACACCATCAACTGATGAGTGGGTAAAGAAGATGTATCTTCTTTACCCATATACACAGACATATACACATACATACATACAATGGAACATTACTCAGCCATCAGAAAAGAATGAACTCTTGCCATTTGCAACAACACGGATGGAGCTAGAGTGTATATGCTAAGTGAAATAAGTCAGAGAAAGACAAATACCATACGATTCCACTCATATGTGGAATTTAACAAAACAGATGAATACAGGAGGAACAGAGAGGCAAACCAAGAAACAGACTCTTACCTGTAGAGAATAAACTGATGGTTACTGGAGGGAGGTGGGTGGGGAGATGAGCTAAATGGGTGATGGGTATTAAGGAGGGCACTTGTTGTGATAAGCACTAGGTATTGTACGTAAGTGGTGAATCACTAAATTTTACACCTGGAACTAATATTACACTGTTATGTTAGCTAACTAGAATTTAAATAAAAACTTAAAAAAAAAAACTAACCATGCAAAAATAGAAAAATTATTCAATAAATTATCTTAGGAGACTGAGATTGTCTGCTTTCACATTAATAGAGGATGAAAATTATACACACAGTAATAGAATATAAAATAAGAAAATAGAGTATGAAATAATATATACAATATTATTCTCATTTAGGCACATGAATAAATTCTCAGACACGCTGAAATAAAAGAGAAAGACTGGAATGAAAAAGACAAAAACTCATTAACAGGAGTAATAATGATCATGTGTGATTTATACATATTCTTGATCTTTTTTTTAAGGTTCATTTATTTACTTTGAGAGAGAGAGCTGGGGACAAGCAGAGAGAGAAAGGGAGAGAATCCCAAGCAGGCTCTGCAGTGTCAGCACAGAGCCAGATGCAGATTCCATCTCATGAACCATGAGATCATGACCTGAGCTAAAATCAAGAGTCAGACACTTAACCAACTGAGCCACCCAGGCACCCCACATGGATTCATATTTTTTTTAGTTTATTTTGAGAGAGAGAGAGAGAGAGAGAGAGAGAGAGAGAGAGCGTGAACTGGGGGAGGGGCAGAGAGAGAAGGAGAGAGCGAGAATCCCAGGCAGGCTCCACACTGTCAGTGCAGAGCCTCATGTGGGGCTTGCACCCACAAATCGTGAGATCATGACCTGAGCCTGAGATGAATGTTTAACAACTGAGCTACCCAGGCACCCCTCTTCATATTGTTTATGTGTCTTTATTTCTACCATCTCTACAACACACATATTGTGATCAAAAAGAAAAAGCAACAAATATAACAAAGTATGACATTTTCCAACTGTAGATTTTTTTCAAGTAATTTTATCCAGAATAAATGAAACACAAAACTAAGTGTTCATTTCAGTTCTAACATCATAGATAATTTGACATTAAATATAACTACACTGGTATAATAAGCACAGGTTATACTAAAATGTTAGAAAATGCAATTATTAATTGTTTCCAGATTCTATTAAGGCTTACCTTCACAAAGTTTCTGCTTCATCACTTCCCTTATTTTGGATATTGCAATATAGTCTTCCACATAAAACACGTAAGTAGATGAAGGCTTATTGGCGATAGCTCTAAGTTCTGCATCCTCTGTTTCTGAGCCAACACCAATAGCAAATAAAGTGATTTTACTGTCTCTTGCTGCTTCTGCTGCATCCTTAACTTCATCTTGAGATTTACCATCCGTAAGTACCACTGCTATCTTCGTCAGAAACCGTGAGGACTTGGCAAAAAGGTAATCAAGAGCAAACTGGATGGCCTTTCCGGTCCTTGTGTTTCCACCCAGGTAGTGTATGGAGTCCATTGCGGCCATCAAGTTCTCTCCTGAATTGTGGCTTCCAAGGGGAATTTCCAATACAGGATAGTCACTATACTGGACCACTCCAACCTGAATAAACTTTGGTCCTATGTCAAAATTTTTTGTGATATTGACAAGCCATTTTTTCACTATTTCAAAGTTTTCTGGACCAACACTGTAAGAGCCATCTAAGATGAAAACTAAATCTGTTGGAGCCGTACGACAACCTAAGTGAAAAAGAAAACCATCAGAGCACATTTGCTGTATAAAAAGAAAAGCATAGGCAGTTTTTACTGCATGATTTTTAAGTAACCAACTGGGGGAGGGAGATCCTTTCACAACATACATGTATATCAAATCACCATGAGGTACACTTCAAATATCTTACTATTTCCTATGTCCATTATACCTCAATAAAGCTTAAAATTTTTTTAAAGTAACCAGTTCACTGGAGCTATGTGGGATTAAATAAGATATACCGCCTAGCTCATGAAAATTCTTTCTGAGGGCTATTATTTTTGTTGACATTTTTAATTCGTTTATCTTAATTTAAGGATTAATGACTGAGCTTTAAAAGTAGGGAATAAAAAAGACATGATGTATATGACATGATATCTAGATATCTCTTTGTAGGGGCAGGTATTACCATAAAGCACCATTTTATTCTATTTCCCCACCCAATAAATGAAAACACAAAAATAAGCAAATAAATTATTTTCAGCTATACACTAGTAGCATTAAGTTATCAATGAAATATGGTTCGTTTACTGATAACCTGACGTATTTACAATAATAAAATAAACCAACGAATAAGGGAAAGAAATTTAAAAAGAAACTTTCTGCCAACTTCAGGATTCACCTAGTCAAAAAAGATCCATATTCTTTAATATAGTTAATAAAAGCTTAATGAACTGAGATCACCAATGCAGGTCCAATATCTCATTGTCAGCCAATAATATACTTGTGCTAAGCGAATCTATGTTCAAAAGTATAAAGCTATTTATTTCTCCAGAGCGATAAGGATTCTCGTTTCAAGATGCCAGGAAACACATGTGATCAGCACACCTTACATTTCTATTAAGGAAAATAAAAAACTACCGTTGGTTTAAGTTACACTTAGACAAGTTCTAAGCAGTTGTGGGGGAAAAAATCTTACTGGTCTTTTCCACACCGCACAACATGCCTCCAACCCTATTTCATTCTTTCAGTCTATATATATTAAATACCTACTCTGTGCTTGATATCCTGCTAGGTACCAGCTTCAAAGATACATAAGATATCTCAAATAGATATCAAAGTCTAGTAAGACAGACAACTGGCTGCTTAGGGAAAGTACAAAGTATTCTGAGAACATTTAGGAGGGGGTAGCAACATAACTGTGGAAAACCAGGGTAGATTTTGTGGGAAAGCTGACCGGGAGTCTGAGGTCTGAAAGGAGAGCTGTAGCCAGGTGAAGAGGAGGACCTCCTAGTAAGAGAGGACAGCAAGTGCCAAGGCCCAGAGATAAGAGTCAAACACTGCCCAAAGGACAAACTGGTTCATTTGAGTAATTCCAATAGTTTGAAATGGAAACAGAGCATGCTGAACAGCCATACTTGCTTTCTCTTTCTCTCACTTCTGCAAAGCAACAAAAATACTACTGTTTATGGCCCATATGATAAAGGTCACATATCCCTGGAGATGGTAAGTTGGAAGAGAATGAGATGAGTCAAGGTAATACGACAACAAATTTTGTTGCAAGTCTTGTGTTTTTACTCAAATCAATGGTCTCCCTTAAGTAGTGATCAGATGCCCAATTTAAAGTTATAATGGTTTATTTTCCATAGACACTGCAAATGAGATATCACAATTGCAAAGGACAGTTGTGAAGGAAAAAGCAATGTTTACTGACAATTAGTATTTGCATTTTCATATCTCCTTAGGAGTAAAGTCAATCAATCAATCAATCAATCAATCAATCTCTCTCTGCTTTCCTTTCCATTCTTTTCCTCATCTTTGTCTACTTCCATATCTAGGATGATGACAGGGCTCACAGGAAGATGCCTCAATTTTAAAATTAACTCACCCAACACAGTAACCAGCAAAAAGAAACACTATTGTCAGGTGAACATGCAGTCAAGAAATTACTTCCCCCCTCCCAAAAACTTTTTTCAATGCCAAAACATAGATTTATCTCAAAACTGTAACCATGATTATGATGCCACTCTTAAGGTGGTGGGGAAGTCCAAAAAAGCCTGAGGGACTCTATTCCAACATCCTCTGCCATGGTAACCACAGCCAGGGTTCAGGTTAGGGACAGCAGAAATGGAATTCTGCCCCAGAGGCGAATTTTCTAACCCAAGGGAATGCAATTCTTCTGGGGTTTTTTGGAAGCTGGACTGGGATTACAGACATCTGCTTTCATTCGAGACACAAAAGGACAGGCAAGTTATGTTTACAGAGTTCTTTAGAGTTGTCCTTCCTCAATGCTATGAGACTCATTGTCTAGACCTGCTAGTGTTTGTGTGCCACTTGATTCAGTATTTATAAACTCTAACCAGGTTGTTCTTGGCCCTTCATACCCCTTTCCAGAGCCACGGAGCATATATTTCACAACTGCCAGGTGAGCCAAGAACATGGGTACGAAAGCAAGTATTACCGTTTATAAAAGCTAGGCAAAATACCACTCCAAGAGACTTCTTCCTTAGAGAGATGAATTACCAGTGTCACCGGGGGAAAAAAAAATGGACTAAAGAGCAAAGGCATAGTTCTAATACTAGTTATGGCACTAATCAGCTCTGTGACATTAGGTAAGCCCCTTAAATTTTGCTGAATCTCTTTTCCCACCCAAAAAACCAAAGCATATCTACCTTCTATAGTGCTTGGGTTGATAAACCTATAAAAGCGTTATATAAACATTAAATTTATTATTGTTTTAATACATTTTTAGCAAGTTGTCAAACCATATGATTTAAGTGTTAGAGAAACCATAATTAATTTACAGTAGGGTGTCTACAAGTTTTCAAATATGATTATAAGCAAAGTTTTTTTTTTTTTTTTAAAAGCATGATATCTATAAATAATGGCCTGGGCAGCAGAACAGCGATTAATATAACCCTCCTTCTCTAATGCAAGCTCTCCTACAGGCAATCAGAATAATAATCATTTACTCAGATGTCACTGTGCTAAGCCATTAAAATGCATTATCCTGTTTAAGTGGATTATCTCATTATCTCTATAAGGTAACTTCATAGGATGGTCCTGATAATCATCCTATGAGGTAGATACTTCATCTTCACATCACTAACCTCATAAATGGCTGAGCATGAACTCAATATGAGACCATTTATTCCAAAGCCTGATGGGTAAAATAAACAATTACCACAGAATTTTCTCAAAATTACCTCTGATAGGAGTTTTTCCTCTCAGTTAATACGTAACACAGCAATTCATTTTATTTTAGGGCATTACAACATTAAACACAATAAGAATAAGGTCCTTAAAAGAATTGCTTGAACTCCACTAATTTGATTTCTACAATCGATTTGTTGATAACAAAAATGCTGATAGTTCTTACTTGATCTTATTTCCCCATCTTCAGCTAATACAGAATTCTGAAGAAGCAGGACCGAAACTATCCAAAAAAACATATTATGGTGAGCCATGTTTCTTCTTTCGTTCTAATATTTTGGTTTTAGGATTCCTAAAAAGAGAGAGAGAGAGAAAAAAGGAAAGTTAACTATATTAGAAAAATAAAGACAAATAGCTAGTCATTATTATAAGTCTAGATTTTTTCATTGTAATATCCAGCTGGAGTACAGTTTTTAGTAACCTTAGAATAATTTACATGTCCAAAATAGCCATATTTTTTAATGTTTATTTATTTTTTAGAGAGAGAACATGAGCAGGGAAGGGGCAGAGAGAGAGAGAGGGAGACACAGAATCCGAAGCAGGCTCCAGGTTCCAAACTCTCAACACAGAATCTGACGTGGGGCTTGAACTCGTGAACTGCTAGATCATGACCTGAGCTGAAGTCTGATGCTTAACTCACTGAGCCACCCAGGCGCCCCAGAAATAACCATATTCTAAATATGTTATGCAACAGGACAATGAATAGGAGCTGAGGAAAACTGTAAGTCTTTTAATTCATAACTATCTTGAAAAGGTATAAACTTTTCTAAAACTTTGGGCTTTGCTCAAAATATTTACTAGAATTCCTCCTTCCAGCATAGCCTGTAGAGCCTTAACACATTCTTTGTATTATCTCACTGGGAGCAAACATTTTTCTTTTAAAAATGGATTTGCATTTAAGAAACACTTAAAGGGCATCTGGTAAAAAATATTTACATAATAAAGCGAGCGGATTTTAATTTTTTTGAGCATTAAGAGCTATTTTATTTGATTCATAAACACTCAGTTATATGACCTTAATACGTCTTCTAAGTTAGTCCAAGGACTTCACTTCTGGTTAGAATGTGGAAAGTTGCAAGACACTATCATTCCCACCAACGCCAGATAAACTACACAACTATAGTCTTTTATACCCACTGGGAAAGACAGGATTTAAAGAAACTTAAATGAGTAAAATTTCAAAAGTTAGCAATCCTTTATACGATAGAAGAGATTCTGGGCTGATTTCATCCCTAGCAGAAAGGGAATCCTCTTCAGGAGGGTCCCAGACACAGAAAGAGTATGCCCCTAGTCAGCAATACTTACCCATGAGTCTTAACAGAGTACATGGAACAGACAAGTACTACAGAGAAAATTGAGAACAACACGGAACAACAAGAGAGATCTACCTTCCTCTCCCTGTTCAGGTATCCAGGGAATTCCTCAAATGCAAATCTTTGGCATGCTGAAGGGTG